AGAATTAAAACTATAAATTATTTAACATTAATCCATATTGAATTAAACTGGGATCTATTTGTATTTAGCTTTTTAAAACACTAACTAGTAAGATCGATTATAAAATTTTAAGGTGAAAAGATCATTAGCCAAAAGTTTCCTACTAATAAGGAGGCCTTGAGGTGGAAATGTAATTAGTTAAAAAAGGTTTACTAACAATAAAAGTCCTTTGATTTGAGTTGCCTTAATGGCCTTTACCCTTAAGCTGGCACTTGCCCTCCACAAACATTGCCTTTTTCCAAGGCAATAACTCAAGCCCTCCGTTTGTTTGTTTGGTTTTTTTTTTTTTTTCCTCCCTAATTTTCCCACCACTTTCTCACAATCCAATCAAATTAACCAAATGAAAACAGACTAATGAAAAACCGAAAACCCCATTATAGCAAGCTTGACGTTATAGATCAAAAAGGAGAGTTAAATTTATTATACGTTACCCTCTAAAACAAAAACCTCTTTTCTTGCTCAATACCTCCTCCCAGGAGGGATGGAGATAGAAAAGAGATTAACAACAAAAAATAACAATAACAATAGTAATAATATTCTTCATTTTCTATCACCCACATTGCCATCACAAACCCAAATGGCTACCCTCTTGGCCATCCTATTCCTTACGGTCTCCGCCGCCGCCGCCGCGTCATTTGTCCCGCAGGATAACTTCCTTCTCGACTGCGGCGCCACGGCCACTGCGACCTCGCCGGATGGCCGAGTGTTCAAAACCGAGCAGCAGACGTCCCAGTTCCTCCAGGCCCAAGACGACTACAAGATCTCCGCTGATGCTGCCGCCACCGACGTCCCGTCCCCGGTGTACTTAACGGCGAGGATATTCGTCCAGGAAGCGACGTACTCGCTCCACCTGACCCGACCCGGATTCCACTTCGTCCGTCTCCACTTTTTCCCCATTAACAACACCGTTTTCGATCTTCAGAAGGCGACGTTCACCGTCACGACCGAGAAGTACGTCCTTCTTCACAGCTTCAACGTCAACAACACCAACAAGGCCATCCTCAAGGAGTTCCTGATCAACGCTGTCGACCCGCATTTTTCGATCAAGTTCTCACCGCAGAAGAACTCCGCCGCCTTCATCAACGCCATCGAGGTCGTCTCAGCTCCCGACGAGCTCGTCACGGACAGCGCAGCAAACCTCCTCCCAGTCGGAAACTACGCCGGGTTGTTCGCCTTCGCGTACCAGACAGTTTACCGGCTTAACATGGGAGGACCGCTCATAACATCAGCCAATGACACCCTAGGAAGGACTTGGACCAACGACGAGCCCTATCTCAAGGCCAAGAACTTGGCGCAGACGGTTTCCGTGTCGCCGAGCGTCATAAAATACCCGTCGGGAGGGACTAATTCCCTGCTTATCGCGCCGCATATGGTTTATGCGACGTTGGTGGAAATGGCGGAGGCAAATGTGAACCAGCCAAAGTTCAACGTGACATGGAATTTTGAAGTTGACATGGCTTTTGGATATCTTTTGCGTTTGCACTTTTGCGACATTGTGAGCAAAGCGTTGAACAATCTTAACTTCAACGTTTACATCAATGGACAAATGGCGATTTCGGACCTGGACTTGTCCCACACAATGGGAGCATTGGCGGTCCCTTATTACAAGGACATTGTGGTAAATTCCTCTTTGGTGTCTAATGGACTAATTACGGTCCAGATAGGACCGTCGAACTTGGGGTCGGGGGATTTGAACGCGATTCTAAATGGGTTGGAGGTGTTGAAGATGAGTAATACGGTGGACAGTTTGGATGGGGAGTTTGGGGTGGACGGGAGGAGGGAGAGCTCAGGGTCGAAAAGGGGGACAGTGGCGGCGGTCGGCTTCGCGATGATGTTCGGGGCGTTTGTGGGGCTGGGGGCGATGGTGATAAAGTGGCACAAGCGGCCGCAGGACTGGCAGAAGAGGAACAGTTTCTCGTCATGGCTGCTACCTGTTCACGCAAGTGATACTAGCTTTATGTCAAGCAAGGCCTCTGGCTCACACAAGTCTAACTTCTACTCTTCCACACTCGGCCTTGGCAGGTATTTATATAACTCAATTTTCAGCAAATTACGAAAATATATAGATTATTTGACAAATATTCTCCCTCATCAACTTTTCACCAATTTTGCTAATGGCTCGTTTTGTTGTTAAGTTTAAATATAAGTTTTTAACATATATTCACATTTATTTGTTTATATTTTGTGAGGAAAGACATGATAGCGAAAAAAAAAAAATGTTTGCACCAAAACTTTATGGTTCAAATTTTATTCAAACCTATAAAAACAAAGAAAGGATAAGTTATTTCTGGAATTTAACAAAATGTTACAGATTGTTATTAAAACAATTAATTTCTTTTGTACATATTAAATGAGCTCGTTTTAAAGAAATAAACTGAAATTTCAATACAATCAGAATGCATAATGTCACGGTATAAGAGTGTTTACTTTTAAATTTTAATACCATTCATCGATTTCGAAGCACTCTAATAACATTTAATTAAGATCAAGGATAATTTGTCATACTTAATAATTTAAGAGACAACCTGCTAATTTTGTCAAAATTTAATATTATTAGGACTTGTAAATTATCATTTCTAGTATTCA